TAGCACGCTTTTCGACTCAATGTCAAAAGGCTAAACGAGGGGCCAAGGGCCAATCAGAATAAAGGGAAATATCTAAAGGAACCAATGAGAATTTGAAGTAAAAACGAGCCAGGTCATCTAAGCGCGGGAAAACGCAGGTGCGCGATTAGTTTGCATCGGACTGGTTGACACGTTGGCCGAGTTTGAACAACCAATCACAGAACGTAATATAGACGAGAAACTGAACTGAAAAATGGTCTGTATCAGTGACTCTTTCCTTTAATTTTTTCCGCTTATAGACTGCTTCAGAAGTAGGTTAACATTAAAAAAAAAAAATAAGTAAACATTTCTAATGAAACTGACCAGGAAAATGTGTTTAGCAATCGAGAGCATCTTTAGTTGGCGATCATTTTCCAAATTCTCATAACTTTACAGGTTGATTCAGGGGTGATTCTATGACGAGAAACTAGATGCTTATTATTTCTCGCGGCTCTAGAGTTAAGACTCACCGAATTTTTCTGCCTTTACTGGCCTTCGTATCAACTTTCTTTTTCACTTTTCTTCGTAGTTTTTGAAGTGCTAGCCATTGCCTGAAAACAAAGAACATCATTATTCACACAAAGAAAATTTTTGTTGGAAGCGAAGTCTGCAATCACTGTGTCAGACCCGAGAACAGGTCGAATATACAGAATAATAAAATACGTTTGGCTAGTGGCCAATGCGACTGGAAATTTAGCTTATAAGAAGGAGACTACAATATCGTGAATGAGCAACAGCAGGTGACCATCTTTAAACTCCTTGTCAAAGGTTTTGACTCACGCTTGAAAATTTTAATTCCGTTCCAAAGGAAAAGAAAGATCGCACGTGGTTTCCAGCAAGAAATTACACCGTGGTTTCGTCCTTTTTTGTGGGGGGGAGGCAAATTAAAAAAAAATAAACAAATAAATAAATAACTGGTATGGGGCGTGTGTGGAAATGGAGATCAATATCACTTAAGGTGGCAACTTGGGAAAAAATGTGGCAGATAATAATTCACTGTAAGGTATATTTACCTTCCCATCTCAATAGGATTATTAGTGTTTCCACTGGTTCGCTGTTCTATAAATTCCCTCAAAAGCTGTTAATTAAAAAAGGAATAAAAGATGTTACTACAAAACAGCCATGCAAACAAATAGTAAAAATTACAAGAAATAATAAGAAAAAAAAGCAAGACAAAAGGACATAACTATTCAAGTTTGTAAGGAGAAGGGTTTCTATCATTGGTTGAGTTACTGTGGATAATCAGTTTCTCTGCATTGAAAACCGAAGGGACAGAGATGGCTATAAAAATTGTGAGAGATTGTGACAGAAGGATTCTTGCAAAAAACTTCTAGATACACTCTAGACAAGGGAAGTTTTAGTTACCTGATGGTAAAAATCATCATCATCAAATATCTCCTCATCATAGTCTTTTAAATGCAAGTCGGACTGTTCCTGCAATCAGTATCACACATAAAAAAAAAAAAAATACATCAGCATTTTTGTTTTCCATAAACTTTCCTAAGATTAATGGATTCATGCTCAGGTACAGATAAAAACAGACTGCAGTTTTTATGACTAACAAACCTTGTTTGAGTCCATATCTTGGATTTCCTCTTTTTCCGACTTTCCTAAGACTCTATATGAGGTCCTTTTCAGTTGAGTGCGTTTTGTGAGACGACCTTTATCAGATAAAATCTAAAATCAAGAACAAAAAAGGCAACTGTATTAGTTTATTTTTAAAGAGCCGGGCTAATTTGATCATAATTGTTAGAGAAGAAAATTATTCTCATTCTAAGACTCTAATGACATAATAATTATAGATTAAATAATAATAAAAAAAAGATGTACAGTATCTTAAGTTTCAAAAATAACTCACATGATTTATCTGTGCCAGTGCAGAGCGGTCAAAAGAACCAAAAGTCTGAGAAAGGTAACATAAATAAAGTTAGTTACAAAATGTACAATTAAACAGCAGAGATAAGTGACATCATGGATAAAAATCAAACACACTTATTTCATTGACTGATACTAAACCAATTCTGTAAATGGGTTATAAAATATTGAAAAAAAAAAAAAAAACCCACTCTCTCTCATAAAACACTCTTTCCTCAGACTAAACCATAATGTTAACGTATTTATAAATAATGAATGAATTATTGTAACTGTGATGAAAATATGGTAACACGTACCTTGCTGTTAATTTTTCCAGAAGCCAGTCGAGTTTTCTCACTCCATTTTGATATTGTAGAGTCTCTGAAATCCTTAAGGGCAGCATGCCGCTTACAAATACAATCTGCATATTCTGATGCTGACTGGGAAAGTAAAGAAAACAAATTAGGCACCTACATCTAAATCATAACACTTAAACTCCCAGATCAATGTTTATTGAGAAAGAAAAATTCAGGTAAAAATGAGTAACAGACTGTAGTTTGTTTTTCCCATGATTCCCAGAATATTGCATACGATCGTACTCATTATGCTAAGAAAATTATATGCAGAAATCAAACAGCATGAAATCATGTTAACCTGAAATTGTTTCACACTACAAGGTATTTATACATATATGTACATGTAAATCATGCTCTCAATGTATCCAAAATTACTTTCCAACACTGAAATTGAAATCTCAGAGAGGAAAAACTTTTTAAGACTTAATTTGAAAATTCTCCTCATAATCTGAAATTCAGAGAAATTCCTTAATATACATGTAGGATAGTGACATAAAGCTGAAATTTCTTTCTTCGTATATAAGTACACTACAATGCAACATAACAGTGACATGTGTTGTATACAGCAATGAGCAGACAACAGTATAAGCATTACTTTGCTTTGTACTTTATTTTTCTGTTCATCTCTGCAGGTTTCATTTTCCATATTTATAAGCATTAGGCTGGGAGGGAGTGTATGATGGTGTACAAGGTTTTCATTGAAGTTTTGCTAGGGGAACTTAAAATAATGATGCACAACTTTGTGATTGATACATGTGCAGGTGGTGCAGTAAACATGCTTTCAAAATAATGACCTTACCAACTCATGTTTCCTTTTTGCTGGAAGCTTCAGGCTTCCTTCTGTTTGTTTACCATTTACTTGATCTTTGTTGCCAGCATTATCATCCTCATCATCTTCATTATTACTCTTCTCATCATCATTATCACTCTTCTCATCATCATTATCACTCTTCTCATCATCATTATCACTCTTCTCATCTTCTGTATCACTGGGTATTTCCTCATCCTCATCACTTCTTTGACCAGCGCTTTTGCTGGACTCCTTTCCTGAGTATAAAATGTCCTTTGTGTCTGGATTTTGGTCCAGTAGCTTTTCCTGTATCCACAGAAGATTTCCAAGAAGTTTTGCTACTGATTTTCTCCCTATAAATAAAAGAACATATCAAGTAGGTTATTGTATGGCTCTTGTAGTGTACTGATTACTATAGCAACAAGTGCATTGCCTGAAAATGTACCAACTGCAGAATGATGTAAAAGAACTGATATCAAGTATGTTGTGGTAGGTTAACCCTTTGACACTTAAAAGCTCATTAGTAATCCTCCTGATCGATTCCAAGAACGCCTTCACCATGCAGAAAGAAATGAGAAGGATGCATCCAGACCAGTTTCTAGACTCCATTATCTCCCTAATCATTCTAAGAAACATATGGCCGATTATGGCCTTTCCCTACATCAAGGCAGTTTGGAAAGCCGCAAAACTCTAGAACAAAATTTATCTTTCAAATCACCACTCTTAATCTCCACAGCATCAACAAACACTTTACATTCAACTAATTTATTCTTGTTTTCTCATCACCATGTTCCCATCAATAGCATAGCTCCACTTTCCGCATATAAACACTCACACAACCCACATTTCCTCCATTTGCTCTGATGAAAGGATCAACATGTCAGCTTTGAAACTCTTTACTGTGACCAATTTATGTTATCAACTAAGTCGATGATACCAAATTACCCTATTCTACTATCCCACAGACACAGCAGTGACGGCACAAGGGATCAGGCTACTACATGTACAGTAGGATAGTACAAGAGAACAGAAAAGTATTTGTTTACCTTCTTTATAGGTTTCTTTTAAGTTCTTGTCTCCGGAGAAATTTAAGGATGCATGCTGGTCATGCTGTGGAAGTCTGTTGGCAATCAAAAGAGCTTTCTGTAGTCGAATACGCATCTCAAGGAAACTATCCCACAAACCTACCAAAAAAAGGCACAAGTTCATTCAGCTCACACTAACAGATTAAACACCTGTGTGTGTACTTGTACTGTGTGTGTACATGTACTGTGAGTGACAGAAAAGAGAGGAGTGGTGTACACTGGTTAAAGCTACAGTCATGATGATAAAAATCAACACAATGATGTTTGGTACATGATTCCTAGAGGTCCACAATTGAAAAAAAATGAGACAAATCAGAGAGAAAAAAATGGTGAACTTAAGTCTGATCACATCTATGCTACCAGTCCACTAATACAAATGTGCATTTATGCAACTGTTTACAGGTCTTCATGGTGAGAATAAACACATTTTGCGGACTAAAAATTGCACAACCTAAGCTTAAATCCTACTCAAGGTCAAGCAGAGTACAATGTTCATCTGGAAAAAATCTACTCAAAATTAACATGTAAGTGTACAGGTAATGACTAAAATCTTGGCTTGAATGGATAGAAAAGCTAAAAAAAATACAACAGTAGTGTAGTTTAAACTGGAGATTTCCTGACAATAAACAATCCTTTAAGGTAACTATGTGTTCAAACTTGGGATTGGATAAAGGTAATAGTGAACAATGGTTCCCATTTTCGGCTGTCAGTAACCTGTCACTCTACTGTTGGCCAACAGGTTACTGACACATTACCGACAGTTGGCTGACAGTGTTAAGTAGACTAAAAATGGACTGAAAACAGAGTCAAAACTTTTCCAGTTGAAACAGTAAATAGAGACATGTTGATTGCATTGTTCGTACCTATCTACTTGATTCTGTTTAAATGGTAAAATAAGTTTGTTTAACCCATCTCCCAACCGTAAGTACCAAAATACCTATTTCTTATATCCTTGTTTGTACACAAAACAGCTTCTTTTCTACATTTTGCAAGTGAATGAACCAACAGGTCAAATGGTTCTAACCAAATAAAGACTTTCTTCAAAGGGTTTCAGAGGCAGTGCATTTAGGGGATTGGGAACTAGAAAAACTTTTCAATATGGTGGATAAATGAAATTGAACCGACCATCGGCCAACTGTTGGTTGACAGTTGGCCGATGGTCGGCCAACAGTATCTTTTGGGAACTGTTCTTCACTTTTACCTTGGATAAATTAATAGGAACAAGTTTCTAATGGGAACTTAGCTCAACATGATTAGAATACCTCTGAATATTGTGCAGGGTGAGGTCTGATAAAGGTCATAAAACCTTATAACAAGAAATCTGTTGGGTTCCACACCAGTTACTTTCCCTAACAATTTTTTTAACTTACTGAGCTGATGTTTTGCAGCAGTTCCTTTCTCAATGTCTTCTTTCAGACTTGTTGAGGAAAACTGTTGAATGGTATTATTACCCATGTCTTCATCTTCTTCAATATCATCATCATCACTTTTACCAACAGCTCCATTAATGTCTGAATCCTCACCCGCACTGGAGAATTCTTCCTCACTTTCATTTTCAGTTCCTGAATGTAGACTGTCTTCTTCATCATTATCAACATTTTCATCATCATTATCATCAGAAAAAGTAACACCTTCCACTTGATTTTCACTTCCATCAGTATTATCTTCCTTACTGTTGATATCATCATCATCCTCTGGTTTTCCAACTCCATTCAAATAATCTATACACAAGGATATTGTATTTAAATAAAGAAATCTTGCAAATTGTATCTTGAAGATCACTGTGAAAATATTGAACACTTTTAATTTTAAAGGATAAACCTTTGTGTTTAAGGCGCTTTTTACCCAAATAGACCACACTCTCTAAAAGCTTACCGCCCTAATAACCCGCATAAGATGCATGAAGAGCCATACCTTTGTGTTTCGTGACGCTTACCTAGTTACCACCTTTAAGTTCTCGGCTATATTACAATTATAACCTTATTTATATGCTTCCTTTTCAGTTAATGTAAAATACACTGTCTGAACTGGAGCCAACATGATTATTATGCACGGAGTTATGTATGCACGTGCTCATTTAAGCTACAACGTAGCACGAGACGTCCACACGAGATTAAATTTTCACTACAGTGGCTTCCACAGAGAGTTTTTTTTATTACCAGAGTTACTCTCCGATTCCTCTTCTTCGTCATGTTCCTCCTCTTCGTCTGAACCAGCGTCGTGTCCTCGTGAGGCTTCAAGTTGAGCTCGTGAAATCTTGTGCCCGGCATACTTCTTGTCAACATCTTGTAACAAAGTGGCTGTTTTCTTACGTAAATTATTGGCGACCGGGGCTTCTTGATCTTCAAAGTCTTCGCTGTCGATCGCCTTTTTGATTGTTTGTGCTCTTGTGACATCAAATTCGTCTTCATCCAAATCGATACGACTTGGTTCAGGATTCGATAACGCACGCAGTTGCTCAGCTAAAGACGCCATTTTAGATTCGATTGTAGCTTGGTATCCTGGCCTTGGTATAGAGGTCACGACTGACTATGGATAGGGAGTCATTTTTTTTCTTCATATTTCTTTATTCGATTCTGTTAAATATATTTTTTGATAATTTCAGTAGTTTCGTTTCACAATAAGGTAACTTTATGTTGTGTTTTTATGTTGAAAAATCAGTTCTAGTTAAGATCGATCGGAAACCGAAACATCCCCAGCGGGACCCCAGGTGATAAGGTGATATTATGGAAGATTTATGACGTCATTTGTTGTGGTTCCGAGATCGTCGCTAGAAATGGCGGTCGAGCAAGGAGCTTCTCCAGTAATATCAAGTGTTTTTTTGGCCGATCTCTCCCACGAGATGGAGAATGATGGCGTCGAAACCGGCAGAAATTCACCTCATCTTTCAATGCAATCGTTGAATGAATTAGAAAGCTCTGAAAAGAGTGGAATCCCATTAAATTCAGCCTGGACTCTTTGGCATGATAAGTGAGAATAACTCCAAACTTAACAATATTATTGTTTTCGGATGCTTGCGAAGTAATGATTATTTGTTTCTAGATATGTTCGTGGAGCGACAGCGGCAGAGTACGCGGCAAATCTCCGAAAGGTTTACACTGCTCACACAATCCAGGTATTGTACGTTTTTCAGGTTATGGTTAATTGACAAAGTTCATGTTTTACCCGAAAAAACGAGAGAGTAATTCGAACTGTCAAATCTAAAATGGTCATCCGACAGAGAATCGCGTGTTCCTCTCCTAACCTTTGAACGGTGTCAAGAAACAAGCATTTTTGTGATTTTGTAACGTTGTATTTGATTTTTAGCGGAAAGGTTTGAGCGCATTATATTCGTTCAGTTTAAAATATATTTCAATTTCCAGAGTCTAGACTTTGACAAGGGGAGTGAATAAATTATGAGCCTGTTTGATTTGATAAGAAGATGACGTTATTTACTCGATAAGACTTAGAATGGACTCTTAATTAGCGAAAATCTCTTCCAAAAATTATTCGTTGCGTTCAAAATTTTGCTGCTAAAGTGATTGTGTTTGCAATTGTATTTTACAATGTATATTGGTTTTCTCTATTTTTATAAATATACGTGATCAATCATTTGTCTCAATTGACTGTCGGTGGATTAATTCGATCCTTATAAATGAAGAGAGAGTTGATAAAAGATGATTCGTAAATGCAAATGGAAAGTTGTGTACTGTTGTAACAATCTTTTATGGGACATTTTATCATCATGCATGCCTGTACTGCCTGCACATGTACCTCATGTAACTGTTAACAACTATATTTACTAATTTGACATTTGTTCACTCATTTTTGAATTCCTAGAGTTTTTGGAGTGTCTTCAACAATATACCTTTGCCTTCACAACTTGATGTTAGAACAAGCTATCATTTTATGAGAGGAGAGAGGAAACCACTTTGGTATGCATCTCTCATAAATTAAATGAAGGGGGATGAATTGATCTCAAGACTTGTGGCATAAAGGCTCTAGAAAGCTCTTGGATCACAGATTTTTCAAACAAAAATAATAACCAGATTTTTGCATCAATGTAGATCAGCTGAAAGTTTTTGCTCACATTCTGGGTTCTGTTGATTTACAGCATGTTGTGCAAGCACAGGACGATTAAAACACATCTGATACACTTGAATAATAATAATAATAATAATTATAATAATAATAATAATAATAATAAATATTTATCCTATAGTTTTGAGTAAAAAATGAGGTTGGATCAATGGGTGGGGGCAAATAAAAGAAAAACCTTTAAGTTTGGGTCAGCAGTGTTACATGGTTTAACCATTTATCTCCCAGAGGTAATTAAGATGTAACAATGTCCCCAAAAACATCACATAATCCAGCAAACAGGTAATGAGAATACTCAAAGCTATCAGGTAGAAGCTTTTATCTTGATCTAATACCAAATTCTCTTACTAATTTACAAGGAAATGTGTGACAGTTAGAGAGGAAAATAACAATCAGATCTTGGGAGTTAAAGAGTTAAATAACCCATTAGTGGCCTATTGACCTTTGAAATAAATTAAATCAGTTTTATTAAATTCTATATTTTGCAGTTTTCTTTGTCATCTGTTTTTCAGTGTCTTCTGTGATCTGAGTCTTTTTTTGTCCATGACTTTGGAAGCTGCTCTAATAGCCATGAGCTATGAAAATGAATATTTTCTCAAATTTTAGTTATGATACTATTTTACATTGAAATTTGTTTTAATTAGGGAAGACAAACAGAATGTTAATGGTGGATATTGGAAAATGCGTTGTTTTAAGCATAATACAGTAAGTCATTGAACTGACAAACTACACTGTAAGTGTACAGGGCAAATAAGTTGTTTGGTATTGATCTACGTACACTTTCTATATTCTACACTGAACCATACATGGAATACCTGCAAAAAATTTTCTTTTGTATACTTCGTGGAGAGGGCTGCAGGGAAATTAATAAGCTTGTTAAATAAGCAGGCTGCATGAATTAAATTGTAATTGCATTCCAGCTTGCATATCAAGGATTTGGACAACTCTGGGAAATCTGGAAAGTCATGGAATTTCCTGATATCATTTTGATTTGATTTGAGGTTTGGGAAAGTCACAGAAATTGAGTGAATATGAAAATTTTTCAGTTCAGTCAAAAAAAAAATGATGTCTGAAAATACATATACAAGCCTGCAGCATTCTCAGGAGAGAGCTTGTAGATTGCTCCTGTCAGCCAAAAAAAGGGATGGTTGCTGAGCTTCATGGTTTAACCTTTTACACCAAAACCTTCACACTCTCCACACTGAGGACAAGAAGAGTTTGATTGAAAATCAGGAATTTCTGAAATTGATGATAATTTCCATAATTCTCACGACCTAATTGTATCTGATTCAATGGTTATACTGTATCGAGAAATTAGAAGTCATGTAGTCACTCCAAGGGCTTAAAGGAACATGACTTTTGTGTTTTGCTTTATCAACAGGATAATGTATGGAAAGAATTATTGTTGGCAGCTATTGGTGAACAATTTAATGACAATGTTCGAGAAGGTACTGTAAGTTCTGTTGTTCATTGCATGGTGAATTCCTTTGTCTTTTTGGTACACTTTAAAAGTATGTGTATTTGAATGATTCACCAACTGAAGCTAACTTAATACACCGAAAAAAGCTTAGCTTAAAAGCCAAGAATATACAACAGTCAGTCATCAAGATGAAGGCTGTCAGGAGGTAGACTCATCAGAAACACAGAGACATCTGGATGGGTGGAATAACAT